TGGAAGAGGAATAACCAGCTGAGCAGACACTTTCCTACACAGGTATCTTTGCAAGACACAACTGTAACAAGGAAGTTTAAGGTATGGCAGTTAAGTCTGAAAAGCCAGAGAAAACAATAAAAAAAAAAGCCAAAGTTACCCTAGCTACAGAACTGAATGTGAAACACTTTCCATGCCTTTTCCTCATTATATTCCCGCCTCCTTCCTGGCAAGGCCATCTGCAGTCCTCATACAGAATCCAAGTGCAACGCTGCTGCTAAACAGAGAGCTTTCACTTGCAGCCTGTCCTAAGCAGGGACATCCTGGCTTGCACTGCATGAGTCAGGATTATCACATCAGCACAACCCCCTGCCTCTGGGACACCAACCTTACAGCTAATTGCCGCAGGAACATCATGCAGTTCCTGTAGGAACATCTAAACAAATTTAACGAGTTGTGAAAAACTCGTGGGATGTGTGTGTGAACAGAGACAAATGTAAGGAAGGCAGGAGATTGACCCCTCAAATTCCATAGTCAATGTGTCAAACTGATGTACAGGCATTTCCAAAAGCAGTCTAGCCAAGACTAGAGGGTGTTGATTAATTCACCTAAATTTAAAGTTATTCACCTCAATGGGTGTTAACTTTACATGGTAAAGAATGCACATCTCAATTTCAGTGGAGACTTACAGCCGTCAGATATGCCAGAATCCTCCTTTGCTTCTAGAGTGGCTACAGGAAGCCTCCCCCAGCACATCTGTCCAACAGCAGGACAGGATATCCTCCTAGGCCCTGCAGTAGCAAAGCAAGTTGCTCTGCTCTCCTCCCCACAGGGATGCCTGCAGACCAGGCAGCTGCCGGCACAGCCAGATCAGACTGATCGGCTGAAGTCCTGGAGAGCAGGAGGGAAACACTCACTTTGCTGTAACCACCAGCTCCACTGCAAGACAGCAATTCCCCTCCCCAAGCCCTGATCTTAAGTGCCAGACTGACTCTGCTTGTGCACCTTCCACGTAAACAGGAGGATCTGGCCCCGGCACCGCGGGATTGCGGCATCAGCAACGCTCTGCGAGCACAGGCCGTGAACCAGCGCTGTTACAGCCTGACCCTGCTCTGCAGGCAGCTGTGGCCTAAAGCACAAACATGCTGTGCCTTATACCAGTGTGTTCATACACACCAGAAACACACATATAAAACATACTGAGCATTATAGCTCAGGCACTTCAGCTTTGGAAAGACTTTAGGTACCAGCAGAGACACAAGTAACAGGTTTTAACAGATCTTCACGTAGACCTGCATTTCCTTTAATCCCACTTGTACCGATAAAGCAGCTTCTAAAAGGGTTAATTTGCAGCATACAATGTTAGGATTAAGCCACGTTTAACGGGAATCAGGTAGCTAAATCCCTCTTCATCCTCTAAAACAGGACCATGTAAGTTCAAACAGATGTGCAAGACAGATCAATACCTTGTAAGCTCTATGAACAGTGCTATGCTGATGTCCCATGCAATCTGTTCCGAAACACAAACTCCCAAATTCCACAGTGCATGCAAGGGGAACCTCCCCTTAACCTTTGGAGTGATTCAGCATTACCCGTTCCTGAGATCGATTATCTGGCTTAGCATGGCAGAGATGCAACAATGTAGCTGGAAGAGGGTAAGGTTACAGGCAGCCTGCCCTGATCCCAACATTATCATTCCATATAATTCAGCATGAGGAATTTTTCAAATGTTTCTGTAATCGCATGTGACAGTAGCACAAGAAATGTGACCCACTGTAAGGGGCAGGGGGATCAGTTTTTAGCTGAAGGGCTCTGAAAAGCAACATCCAGGTATATGCCAAACAAACTTTTTAAGTATAAATCACCTGAAGCTCCTGGAATCTGATATATTCACAGCTCCACAGGTTATATTCTCCAGTGACATATGAGCAAACACTTTCAGAAGTGATGTATTCTTTGCCACTATAGCCTTACCCTACTCTGCAGAAACTACCACAGTGTTGCTAAAGGCCAGTACACTCTTCCAGGGCCCTCAGTTTCCAGCCTCTCTGTTGAGATAACTGTCTCACATCAGCATTAAATGTAATGAAATTCTGTGTGATGTGGAGACTTATCCAGTATAACCTTCCCCTGAAGAGCACGTGAAGCAGCAGAAGCCTCACTGCTGCTGGATGTGACTCAGTGTGGTACTTCAGCAGCCCCTTTCTCTCCCCAGAGCACAACACACCTTCCCCAGGGTGACACCTTTCGATGTGCACACCAAACAGCCAGGCAGTTGAGCTCCCTCTTTTCACCAGGATCACGTCTTGAGTGTCTGTAACCAAAGCACTTGCCTCGACTGCACAAGCTGCAGGCAAGGCTGAAAAGGGAGCTCAGCCTTCCTGCCCTTCCCGGCAGCAAGGAGAGATGAGTGTGCAAGGAAAGAGACCACGTAATTGTAATGTCACAGGCCTCCACTACCTGCTGTGCTTCACTGCTGGCACCCTTGTTTCCAACACTGGGGGCTGCCTAATAGGATTTTGCTGTTGTGTTTCAGTGCATGGTCATTTTGAACAGCCACAAGACACTGATCTGTTGAAATCCTCTGTTCCTGCAAAGCAGTCACACATTTCCCCTCTTTCTTTTCCCCCACAGGAACTTATGGATTGAAAACCACACATCAAGCATGGGCATGAAATTAAGAGTTCAGACCTCTCCCAGTTCCTCAGTGAGCAACCACATTACATGCAAGCCACTGACAAATGAGGATCCTGACAAAAACAGAACTAGAACCCGACTGTACCCCTCAATAGGGGTTTTTACAAGGAGCAGACAGCATCAGGGAAAAGCTGTATTAGTCCTGTAAGGCAGTGCTAGGACCCACAGTCCTTTTTGAGTTACTGTGCTTATAAAGAAAAAGCCCCTGGTTTATTCCACGCGCTACAACCAACAAAGCAGCAGTAAGCAAACCAGTTTGCTCAGCACTGAAACTACTCACAGTCTAGGTTGGACTTAAACCTGAGCAGGGAGAGGTTTCTTCTGACATTCCCTACACAGTTCTCAGCTCCATCCCCAAAGGGCTAAGTCAAATAGCAGAGCTCTGCAGCTGCACTGCTGGGGGCTGGTGTGAGACCAGGGGGCTCGTCCCCTCTGCCACTGGCAGTGACAGTTTGCTCATACTTCAGATAAGGCAGCTCACTCCCCTCATGGAATCTGTCACAAGGGGAAAACGTGAGATCCCAGTCTGGTTAGACTGTCATTCTACAGCCAAAAGCATAAAATGTATCACTGGTATAGCTGGAAATGTTATTAATAGATATATATAAAATTGTGCAGTGTTAAGAATCCTTAAAAGCTTTTCCTTTATTTTCTTGAGGCAGCAAATGGCACGGTATTTAGAATAGATTATTGGTTCCCAGTTGCTTTAAGGGGAAGAGAGAAGGATTTGTATTCAGTTCACAGTATTCCATTTTTAAGAAATTTTTCCCTGCTAATTCAAGGCAAGGAAGTGCTTCTCACACACTGAATCAGTCAGTGAGAGCTACCAAAAAGAGAGATAGATACTTTAATGAAAAGGCAGTAGAGATGCAAACCCAGTCTTTCCTTAATCAGATAACATACTGTCTTTTAAAGTATTAATCTTCAAAGACTAGGGCCACTGAGATAAATACCAAACAGAGAAAGGAGCCCTCAATAGCACAAATGAGCTCCAGGATGGAAACTGTTCGTCACCCATCACCTGACTGCAAAAGTGAGGGTGCCAGACTGCTCCTAACACTGAGACAAGAGCCTGCTGGTCAAAGCTTACAGATGTAGCTCCTGGAGGCTGCCCTATGGCTACAGACCCTGCACTAAGATAAATCTAATTCACAGAACTCTGCCCAGACCCTATAGAAGGATGTTCAGCTTGATGGTGAGCACAGATCAACCAGCATCTCCACTCTCCTTGTGACACCTGGATACCGCACAGGAAGGAAATGCTGAGCTGTTGCAATTTGGGTAAGATGCAGTCCTCATGTACTGCAAGTCATTAGTTCACTGGAGCTACATTTTAGTGAATGTGCATATGAACTAGCTGAAGAAGCTGGGAGCTTCCACATGGAAGTATAATTAACCATTTCCCACAAGATTTAAACAAACAAAAAAAAAACCCCACGTATCATGTCACAACTCATTTGGCTTGAATGGGACCAAGGCAGACAAAGGTCTCTCAGCAAAAAGGTAGCACGTTTTACAGCTCATCTGCCCTGACAGCAATCACAGGAGCCATTCCCACCTGGAAATACATTTGAACGTGGCTGAGAACCAGCCCTGCTTCAGCTGCAGGGAGTTCACTTTTCTGCTCAAATTCTTCCCGCTAAAAACAAGTCACGGACACAATCGAACCATCTTACCTGTGTCAAACCCAAAACTTGGCACAATGTCCACCGTTCCATGAAAGGCTCCAGCCCATGCTGAGGTAGCGCTGGTGACAGCCGCGGGGTCTGTCTTTGTCACGTCACACTGGGGAGCAGGAATCCTGGCTGCGCGGACCGACGGCATCAGCAGGGACCCGTAGCGGGGGTCGCGGTGCGAGCTGGGATGGTGATGGTGCATGTGTGGATGGGGGTGATGGCGATGCATGTACACATCATGCATGTGTGCATACGAAGGGCTCACCTGAGATGCTAAAGGATAATGCCAGGATTCGGAGGCAGCAGGGGGAGGAGGTGGGGCAGTCTGATGAAGGCCGTGTCCTGGCCAGCTGCTGGGATCTGGTGTTGGGAAGGTGCCTGGTGCAGTAACGGGGAAATCAGGGTGTACTCCACTTAAGCACGGTGGAGGAGGAGGCTGATAAGAGCTGGTCCAAAATGAAGTTGGGAAACTGCTCCTTTGGCTTGAAATTGTTGAGCTTTCTGGTGGAGAAGAGAGAAATGAAGTATCACTGAAGCTGAACGACACATTCCACAACAAAAACTTCCAGCTCAAAATTCCTCAGTAATTATAGAAATCACAGGACAGCTGAGCTAAGGGGGGACCTCTTGAGATCACCTAGTCCAATCCCCCTGCTCAAGTGGGGTCACCTGGAGCAGGCTGTCCAGGACTATGTCCAGTCAGATTTTAAATAAGATCCAAACTCCACAGCCTCTCTGGGCAACCTGTTCCAGGTTTTAGCCACCCTCAAGTTAGCAATTACCAAAAAACAAACAAACAAAAATACCAACAAAACAAAAACATAACAAAAGAAAATAAAAAGAGCTTTATTGTTTTCAGATGGAATTTCCTGTTTTCTAATCTGTGCCTATTGCCTCTTGTCCTGTCACCAAGCATTGCTGAGGAGAGCCTGGCTTCCCCATCTTTCTCATTTCCCCCTCCCATCAGGTTTTAAACACAGTGATAAGATCCTCCCAAAGAATATTTTTGTTCTTCAGGCTGAAGAGTCACAGCCCTCTCAGGATCTTGGTACAAGAATTATGAGGAGAGGCTAACTCCTGACCAGTCTAGACCATATCATTTAGAAAGGCAGTTGTTGTGGCTATAAATGCATCCGAGGACAGAGAACCAAGTCACGCTGCAGAATAGGAGACATTTGGTCAAAGGAAATATACCAGATCTTCTCAAACTAATTGCACACTTTTATGGGATAAAGATCGAATTTAACACATCTTATGTTAGCCCCTTACAGAATATATCACGTTGTCCTGTACCCAATAGGACCATAGAAGCAGAAACCTCTATGTAGCTCAAAGAGGTTTTGGTCAGAAATAAAAGACTCACTGCTTCTAACAGCTAGGGCTCAACTTATATTTAAATGGATTCAAATACTTCTACATTATGAAATCACATTCTAAAAATTCCTCTCTTGAAGGAGTGGTTACTGTTTTTGATGTGTAGGGAACTATTGGCACCTCCATGCTCACAATCCTCTTGCCAGCTCCTGTTAGAAAGCACCGCTTCATGCAATATGTCTCAGCTCAAATAGGGTTTTTTTTAGGTCGAAGATGGAAACATAAAAATACAGGACTTCACCTCTGTTGAAAGAACAGCCATAAAAATAGCCTATGGAGGAATAAAGCCAGGGAAGTTTAATATCTGATGAGGCGAGGAATCCTCTGTTCCTCATATAACTTATAAAAATACCTTTTTTTTTTTTTTAAATGACCTTTCATTTTGCTTTGTTTAATAAGCAACTGGAATGAGACTTGGGTGAAGACACCATTCAGAATGAACAGATTCTTCAAATGCTCCTGCCTCTGAACTTTGCTTATACAAAAATATTTTGGAACCCAAAACTTAGAAGTGTTTTCTGACTGTATCACTTGGACAACTCACCTCTCTGTTTTAAAATCCACTAAAATCAAAGTATTTTTTCTACACATCAATTGGCTTTGATTTACACACTTTATTGAGTCTGATTAACTTCCTATATTGGAAATAAACCCTGCAAACATACCATGGACAAACACAGAGGATGTTTTGGGCCAAAGTGCTTCAGAGGCTGCAAGCTCATCTGGCAAACCATACTCCAACATGGTTTTCTTCAAAAGGCTGGCCTGCTTTTAGTAATATATTTCTACTGCAACTCACGCTTGAAGACTGGAGAGAGCTTCAAGCATGTTACAGAAGCCTCAACACCCTTCCAAAGTTGGTATTGTTGCTTGTTTGTAAATCATTCCTTGGGATTACACTGAGATGGAGAGTGTTCATGGTGATGTAAGCATGGCTGACACCAAAAAAAAAGCAAAACCAAACTTCTCCATGCCCAGTCTGTTGTTTTCCACACTACTTAACAGAGGAGTACAGCTTGACAATGCTCCACCAGTATTCTGGAAATGTAACCACTGTAATCAAGAGTTTTTGCAAACTATCTGTCCGTTATCTGCATGGAAAAGCCCTAAATCCAAAGCGTTGCACTTCAAAAAAGCACAGAAAACCACAAAGTATCTGCAGGACAGCTTTCATACCGGGAGAGAACACTTTAAACTGCTGGATTTGCCAACATGAATTCATCCCAGATTGCATAACAGCTTGGCTTCACCAATCATGAAGGAGGCCTACACTACAGAAAACACGTTTGGCCACCTTCAATTTTCAAACCTGTGCACATTTCAGAAAGCCACTGCTGCTGTCAGACACTGCCCTGGACCAGCCCCCACCAAGACATCGCTGAGTGCAGTGGCAGAGGCCAAGCTCACTGCTCAAGGCCAGGTCACGTCACTGGAGACACGGGGTCCATCCAGATGATACAAACATGCCAGAAAATTTCATCCATCTCGAGTGCTCAGAGATACCCAGCCTCTATGGAACATGGCAGTGGAGAAACAGCCATTTCTGAAATGTCCTTGGAAAAGAAAAATAAATAAAATCCCTGCAGCTTGCATGGGCTTTCGGGGGGGGGAAGGGAAGGAGGCATTTAACAAAAGCTGTTTGCCAAGAAAGATACCTCAGTCACCACAACTTCCTACCCTAAGTAGAGGGAGGCAGGGAGATGGCAACATCTGGGATACCACGAAGTGGTAAATGATGCAAATGTTCGTGGTGGCCCGACCAACATGCACCGAAAACGTGCCAAAACGCACACCCTGTGGAGGAGACAACGTGTGGAACTTCCTGCAGTACAACACTGCCCCTCAGTCAAGGCAAGAGGAAAGAAAAATAAGAAAGTAAAACAACCTTTCAGCTAGGAAAAACATGTTGATAAAAATACCATTAAGGTAGCATCGGTTTCCAGGTGTCTTTAGTTACGTTAGCGCCTGCAAAAAGACTGCAGGTAGCTACACCTAAAACTGAATATTCAAAGTCCATGTTACTGGATCCTATTGTAGGGAACTATATTTTATTAATAAAAAAAAAAAATCAGTTTTCAAGTTACTGTAAATAAATAAACTGGTCAGTATTTTCAACATACAAATGATGAAAACCTGTTCTTTTCAGGACAATGGGTTCCATTTTCTCTATGTAAGCAAAATCCCTCCCCAAAACAAAATAAAATAAAAACAAAACAATCAAACAAAAAACAGCACTGTAATGATAAAAATCAGACTTTGTGTTTTCATCAGGGCACCTTAAAAAAAACAAACAAAAAAAAACCAAAGTCAAAGATGGAAGGAGAAAAAAGGGCAAAAACCATTACTAATCCCTCCTTTCAGGTAAAGGAGAAAACAGCGAACTGGGGAGTCAGTTCATCCTCACACACTTCCCCCTTAAATTCATACCTTCCAAAAACAGCTGTTGCAAAAGTTTTTTTTTTCCTTTTTAATTTATCTTTGAGTAATAAATTGACAAAAATTCTGACTACCCAGGAAAGTCATTTACAAAAGAACTTCCAACTAACAGTATTACCTCTTTAGGTAATGGGATACAAATTCACATTCACAGAATCATAAAACCATTTGGGGCTGGGAAGGGACCTTGAAGATCACCTAGTGCCCACCCCCCTGCCACGGGCAGGGACACCAACTAGACCAGGTTGCTCAGAGACCCATTCATTTGCTGTTAACTGAACATCTTTAAACACTACCTAAACCAGAAGGCCAAGGCACTGGCATCTTTCCCTCCCACTGTTTTCAAGCAGGCATATTTCAGGAACTCATTTGGGCCTGATAAGATTATCGCCAGCTTCTCCTCTCTCAAGCAGCAAATGCCCTCAGCTCTCTCAGCGTCCATAGCCCTGCCCAGTAGCCTCCCTGGGGATTTTCATACCACTTCAGCAGGTGCAGCAACAGCAAAGGGCATATCTCCTTACTTTATTCCCAGAAGACTTTCAGGACACGCAGACCTCCATTCCCCACTGAGGGCATGGGGCACATGGGGTTAGGAGGCAGCATGGCTGAAGAACCCTTACACCAGGCCACCCTGGCCCCTGCAGAACCCTCTGGGGATGGTTGTGCAACCACAGGGGGACACAGGGAAAAAGAGCTGGGTCTGTCTGAGGTCAAAGAGAAGACACACAACCCCTGGTATGTCTCTGAGTGCAGTGAAGAGGGCTCGCTATGGGGACGGGGTCTCTGGGGACTGCCTTGATCCCATCTCTAAAACATTTATAGCCTGTCTGGGCCATTTATAAATGCTCCAGTCTCCTTTTTAGTAAGCATAGGTTCAATCCCGCTCTCAGTCGAGTCAACGGAAAATTTCCCATTAACGTTAATGGTCCCGGCTCAAGCCATAAATTCCTCTAGCTCCCCAGCCACTTGTGCTGACCTTTGCTTAAACTTCCTCGGATTTGTCATCATCCTTTTGGAAAGCAAGTCCTTCTGTGCTATTTTTCTCTCCACAGTAGTTTCCAAAAATCCCATCTCTTTAATATCTGTGACTTTCATTAATACGGTCTCACCTCAGTGTTGCTGATTATGAGGACCACTGCTCCCATACTATGGTATCTCTCTCACTCAACCTGATGCAAGGCCACTGCTAACGATGCTTAGTTTGTGTCCCTCTGCCAGTCCACATAAGGGTGTGATCAGAAATAACGCAGCTGTGGATCTGAAAAACTACCCACACCGCCACATTCGACAAAATGGAAACAGCACCTTACTGGCGAGGCTTTCTTCAGTCACCAATTTTGAAATCTCATCTGTAAGGTCTAACTAGCGTATCTGGCAAGATCTGCTCTCTGTTACTCTGATGCATACAATGCACATGAGCATTTATATGCGCAACAAGACAGAAGTGTTATGACACCGTGCAAATGCCTCGTAGAACCTACCACATTTCTACTCTCCGCTTGGAAGCAGAGTAGTGCCACCCCCATTCTGCATGCAGGAAGCTGTAACATCAGCCATATCTCTGCCACAAGCAGGCTGCAATGCACCACACCACATGGCTGCGGCCACAAGGGCCAGGGCTTGTCCCCCAGCCTGTTCCAGCCTGTTGCTGGCTCCTCCCCACTTGAAAAGCAGCTGCGGATGAATCCTCATCACCTGGCAAAGTCACTCGGGAGGGCTGCATAGGTTTCCTCACGTCCAAGGCCAGAATCCCAAACAGCTTTGCTCTTTCCTCACAGGCCAAGTTTCACACTTAGAGCTTAAAAAAAAGAGCCTCCAACCTCGCAGGAGACGTTTGTGAAGCTGCGCGAGCTCTGCCCCATCCCGTCCAGGCCTTGGCGAGAGCAGGAGGCGCCTGCTTCTTCCATGCCTTTGGCACCCATCTCCCCCTTTAACACTTCGGATCACTCAACCCCAGAAGCTCCACGGTTCTTTCAAGTTCGAGGGAGAATTTTCCACCTCTCCAGAGGAGTGAAATTTCAGCTGCAATGCAATGCGTGTTACCGCAACACAGACCGAGTAAGCCACGCCACAGAGGGCAAGTTACTGCTCCTCTTACCTCTCCACAGAGGACTTAGCCCTGTCTTGCTCTTGGTAAGGGCAGTTTCTGAATTGAAGCTACTGGCTTGGCTCAGAGCTCTTGAGAAATGTTCATCCACTACTGAACCAATGTCTCCCTGGAAGTAAGTGAACAGGACGCAGCGAGAGTTAAGGTACTCCATCTCGGCAGGCTGGTCTTTCTCATCCTCCTCTTGCTTGCTGGGAAGGGTCACTTCCAGAGACTCCTGCATCTTGTTGTACACAGCTAACTTCTTCTGGGATTAAAAACAGAACAAACAAGAGATGTATCAGTGATGGCATTCAGTGGAAGATCAACATATGGTTTCTTTAACAAAAAAAAATAACTGAACACACTGAGTATTTATTTTATAATTTAAGTGGGACTACCAGGATATTTCTCACTGGCATTTCACAAAGAAGAGAATACCAGCACCCACTCATGAGTCTCTATCCCTCTCACACAGATGGACCTGCTTCTCAGGCATGTTTCACAACCGCAATTTATCAGCAAGAGCTTTCACCAATACTTTCAAAAGAAAACAGACAGGCTCTAACAATTCCTTCCTGACTCCCACCTGGAGAGGATATTCCCATTAATGAAGGCTACAGAGGTTGAGTCAAGCTCTGTGCAAGGGTGTCCAGACAGAGGGTGCCAGCATTTCACCCATCTGACTGAACATGCACCAGATTTTGCCGGCTGCACTCCCCCAGCTGAGCATGCACGGCCCTCAGGACTCCCCACATTTATCCACTTAGGAAGAGGTAAAGATGGGAGAATTTTGTGCTTCCGCAAATGAATAAATTTTCACTCACTGCCAAGAAAATCTCTGTCACTTCTGAAGCTATACTTTAGGGTAGGGATTGGGGTTTGGCTGGGGAGTTGAGGTCTTTTGTTTTGGTTGGTTGGTTGGTTTGGGGTGGTTTGTTGTTGTTTTGAGGATGGGGTAAGAGGTGGGTTTATTTTTCCCCCTTTTTGTTTTTTAAAGACAAGACTTCTTGTCTTCTTTTTCCCAGAACTAAGTAGTAAGAAATTAAATGTGTGACCTGGGAAAAGAGAGGGATTGATAAGTCTGCAAACATACGCAAAAGAAATGCACCCCAACCCAAAAACACAGAGAAGCATTTAAAAAAAAAAAAAAATTAAACCCGCACAAGCCATCTGTGAATGGCTATTTCAGAATCTTCTCTCTCCCTCTCTCTCAAATCAAACCTAAATGTCAAAATAAATGTGTGTGAAGATCCATTTTGCATGGAACATATTTTTCAGATGTTCCACTTTACAACTGTTTTCACAGAAAAAAAACTTTCCCCACAACAGTCAAGCTGCAGGAATCACAGCTTTTAGCTAGCCAGCCATTTCCACAGCTGACTTTGCACACAAGCACTTTCAGGAACCCAAAAACAACTACAGCACATATGCAGAAGTATTTCATAGGATTTCTATAGAATTACAGTTTGACTTCTCTTTAATGGTTTGCTTGGCAGCTCTCTAGTGCCATCAGAATCTCTTTAAGTTTATGGCTTTTTTACCCTTTTTCCAAAGCAGTTCTATAGGAAAAGTTAAACAACTGTACAGTCTATAAAGTTTCACTTATTCAATAAATACACATGTCCTAATTAAAAATAATCTAAGGTAATTTCCTGATCTTATGTACCATCAATACATTTACATTCAGTGCTTTCTAAAATCATATTAGCCGATACAAATTCTCTCATTGAAATACAAAACAAATACTCTACAAAACAAAATTCTAATTATGAATGGTTATTAAAAAAAAAAAAAAAACAAAACAAAACTGTAAGGAAGAGCTACTACCAAGTGTAATTAAAATCTGTAATACTAAAAGCTCGTAACAGCTAAAGGATCTATGTGACATTCCAGGAACTGATAAATGTAAACCATTTATCATAAACCATTTATTATGTAAACCAAATGTAATACCATTAATTCAGATGCAGTGAGGGACATACATCACTTTATTTCAGTTTGAGATATTCAGGCAATAGGCTGGAATTCAAGCAAATCCGTGCTTCACTTATTTAGACTTTCGGTTTTATCCCAAGATCCGATAATATATAAAAAAAGCTCTGGGATTCACTCATAAAAAACCAAACCAAACCAAACAAACAAAAGGAAAAAGTAAATTAAGTTTTACTAGAAACCCTGAAATTTACTAAAATTGTTAAAATGAAATACAGTCTGAAGCTCTGAAACACATTTTTGCAAGCTCAGAATCTGGGGTAACCCATATTTTTTTTTTTTTTGTATATGCTCTGTTCATCTTTTACAAAATTTACATCTCCCCAAAAAAGTCTCCTAATATTTTTTCCTGAAATGAAACAAATGGAAAATGAAATGGAAAATTTGCTCCTAAGGTACCGCTCACAGCGAGTTTCACAGTTTTACTTAGGCAATCACAGAACGATGAGAGTAGGACAGAAATGGTTATAACAATACTGCATATTTAGGAAATTGAAACACATTTGAAATCTGTAATGAATCTCCCTCAGTGACTTCATCATTCTTAAAGGTGCATCATAATCCAGAGCCTCTTAAAAATGCAAGACAAGTGGTTGGGGAGGGTGGTTTTCTCATTTTTGGTTTCGGCTGGGCTTTGTTTTTTGAGAACAAAGCACGAGAGACACCTCTACAGAAGTCTAAACAGACACTGACCCATTACAACAGCTCAGATGTGAGTACACATGTTAGACCCTGAATAATGTAACACACTTTAAAAGTTGACTTCTATCATTACAGGTACAGTACTTGCATTTATCCTGCAGTTATGCAAATGCACACAATTATATACAAAAAACACACTGTTTAATACAGCCCCTGGCTTGACTTGGTTATCAGGAAGGAAGTCTTTCAATGTTCCTATACAGAGACTGGAGCTCAGGAAATTAAAACTTATCTCCAGAGTTGCTTCTCTGTGCAGGAATGTTCCCCCTTCCACAGCCTAAGAATCTAATTCGTTTTCCATTTCAACTCTCTTCCCTCCCCTCCAGTCCATGGGCAGTCATTACAAGATGCTCCGAGCACTTTCTTCTTTCAAAAACACCAAATCTGACCTTTTTTTAAATGTTAAAAAAAAAAAAGATGGTAGGACTGATGAACAAGTACAAGGCCTTGTGCATGGACTGAAGTTATTTACAGTGAAAAGTTTGTGTTTTGTGGTGAGTTTTCTGCAAACGATGAGAGTTCTAAATTCAAAGATTTTTCAAAACAGCACCAAGCCTGTGATCAGACACAGGTATAATTGAATTATATTTCAGGAAGAAATTATCAGCGTGTAATTGTAAAACTCTTAAAATAAGAAACTACAGTGAGATAAAGTGACTCAACAAGTTTTCCTTGTTTGCAATGTATATACATCCTTTACATTGTATACATCCTCTAACAGTGTGGGGGTTTTTCCCCCAACTCACTCAAAATAGTCTGTTTGCACACAAATTCCATCATTTTTGTTCTGACCTTAGCAGTAATCTTCTCATAGCATTTCTGACTGCACTTGTGTGAGTGGAAAAGTATGCAAGATCATCAGCTGCTAAATGAATTTGTCCCACCATCATGGGGTGTGAGGGAATAAAAACAAAAAAACACCCAAATATCAGGTTAGGTTTCTGGTAACCAATCTGGGCTAGTCCAGTTTCACTTGTACTTTTTCATACAAACAGTTCTGGCATATATTTCAGCAGCCAACAGTGCCTGTAGATCACAATGCTATCCCTTGTCAGTGTTCAATACTTTTATATTAATGAAATCCACCTCTCCCTTCCTTACAAATTAGAGACTGATATCAAGCAGCCTCTCAAAAAAATGAAACAAAACAAACACACAAAATCTTATCTTGGCCAAAATCCAGAATACAGAAGTTAAAGTCGGCTGAGTGTACTAAGAAATAGGGAAATTCAGTATCTATAGCACCTGATGCCAGCTTACACAACAGACCCGTGGCTGAAAAGGCACAAGCTCTGGGTAAACAGTGCTGTACAGCATGGGCTGAACCCACCCTCAACCAACACTATTTTTTTATTTATTTCATATATTCACAAACAGGCTCTTCCAAAGAAAATTTAAACCCTTAACTGCAAGTCGTATAAGAAAAGGAAACTAAAGGTCAATAGCACATCACCACTGATATGGGAATATTAAAGAGTAGGTTTATAAGCTGAATGAACATCATTCCGTCTTCTAAAGAACACTGACCGCTTTTAAAAGCTTGTGGTCCAAAAATCTCACACAAAATCCTCTCCTTGAAGATTCCTGTTATTTTCTGACACGCCGTACCCAGAACCGAGTGAAACGGTTCCCATGCAGCGAAGGGCTGGCCACATTAAAGCCAGTGGCAAAAGTCCAACTGACTTCAAGGGTCCCAGATCTCGCCCAGAGTGTCTGGTAAAAATGTCAGAACATTCCTCCTCGCAAACTGAAATAAATTCACTTCCAGCTGAAACCAGCTAGTAGGCAGCAAAACAGAAACAAACAAACAAACAAAACAAACAAAAAAAAAACCAAACCGCACTTGAGAACAGAGAAAGTCTTACTTTAGCCAAGTTTGAATCAAAAATTCAGGCTAGCTCTTATTTTTCATATAAGCTGGTTGCCTACTCCTACAACTTATTATCTCCATACATGCCATCATAACAGCATATGGTCCTTTATGCTCCCAAGCACGAAAGCCTGGTGTGCCTGTGGCCACCTGTTACAGATTTTCCATTATGAGAGAAAGAACAGGAACCAAAAATAAAGAATAACTACACTGAGGAAACACTATATGACCCTATCCTGAGAAAAAGGCTGTCATTTGACATAAGCTTCTGAGAAGGAATTCCAGCAACAAACTCGAGGCAAATCACGGACAGGGCCTCCATTTGTGGAGCTGTCTGTCAAGCAGGCTCCTCACTGATAACACAGAAAGTATTCAAGGAGAAAGACAATTTCAAGCAATCAGGCCATCAAATGATGGGCCCGAAAGCAGTATTTATGGCATGCCCTGAAAACATGAAATGGTAACTTTTGCCCACAAAAATGAGCAAGGCAAGAGCTTGTTTTCAGGAGAGCCACTGGATTTGCAGCAGTAGAGCCTGCAGCTCCTGCTATACTCTGCTAATGGAAGGAAGTGGTGGAAAAGGAATTCATTAACACATCTTTTGCTGTACACGCAAACAGAGATGTACCAATCAAGTCTGAAGGTCTGTTTTTATGTAGGTAGAGGAAGATCAGGTAGAATTTGGTCCCAATTGCAGTGACAGAGTAAAGCAAAACAAACTTTTAAAATCAATGGTGTCTTGTAGAGTTAAACCAAACCAACCAAAACGACAAAAACCCACACACATAGGGGAAGACTTAATCCAAGTTTTACATCCTGCAATTCTCAGAGTAGCCTTTAAGGGTGAGTTACATAGGTCTGATCCAGTTTCCAGAGAAGTCAACGGCAGAGCAAACACCAGGTCTCGGGACTAAGCCTTGAGAAAGAATCTGAACTGCAAAAGCTGAACGTGAAGCCATGCTCTGCAATTACGAGCTGTTAGACACTGCCACCCAGCACAAGCAGTATAATAAGCGCATCCTCAAAAGTGGTAAGCACACGATTCAAAGAACTTTACTGAAAAAACAAGTTACAGTCTGTGAACTGGGGTTTAGCTACAGCCAGCTGACAAAGCATCATACGTGACCTGTCCTTGTCTGCAGTGTTGTTGGTTTGGAAGGAAGAGCTGAGTTAGTGACCTAATTTGCTAATGAAGACAAGCCCTTATCTGGAAAAAGTCTGTCTATGGCACTGCCAGCACTTGAGAATATCACAAGTCTTTATGCAAGACTCTGATTTAGCAAGGATGGTGTTGGCTTAGATGTTGGCTCACATCTATATACCACGGCGAAATTCCAAAACTACCATTTTACTGCAACTTCCCATTTCAAAAGTCTTAAACTCAGGTGTTAGTGAGCCAGGGTGAGCCCTGCCTTAGCCTCGGCTCTGCAGCTCGCTGTACCTGGCCTGACAGGACACGACGAGCCGTCACGGCGTTCCGTGTGCGCCGAGAAGACAATGGGATTCTTCAGCAATTATGTGTTTCCAAAGTCTCATCGAATTCCGTTACACCCATTCCTCACCCAGCCCACAGGAAAGTCAAAACTTACTCCTGCAGCTGCACAGCCCCTCAGGAAAGCACACCACGACGGGTGTTTTAACTTTGCCATCCTGCAGGGTTTTACCCTCAGATCCTCACCGGACGCAGAGACGCGCTCGCTCCGTCTTTTGGCAAAGTATGGAAATCCCGATTTATCTGTAAAATTAGGGCCACACCCCATTTTCATCAGTTCCTTCTGGCATCATATGAGCAGGTATACAAACCACACTCCCCTTACCTCCCTCTGGCAAACACCCTGGACTTGAGCAATCTCAAAGATCTAAGGTGCTAAGCCTCCACTCCCATTAACATTCAATAGGAATTTAGGCTTCAGTCCATTAGGGGCTTTAAAATAAAATCCCATCTAAATTAATTTGCCAGCAAGTCCTTTCCTGGCTAAGGATCGGTGAAAGTTAAGTTTCCAGAAATTCTGCCATTCTGTGCAAGGAAAAAAAATCAGTTCTGTGCTGATTTTGAGGGAGGAAAAAATACAGACGCAGAAATGTAGGAATAACTTTAGAGTGGGGGAAACTTGAAAAAAGCACGATGAACCATCCCCTAAAGAGACGTTTCTGCACAATCCAGGCGCACATTAGTCCATCATTTACAAACAGTCCGAGGGCTCTCATTAAAAACAAAGAAAGAAAGAAACAAAACAAGACAACAAAAAGGAGACAACCATTTGAACCCCCTTCGCTGCACAGCAGTGACACAACGCCAGCCCCTCGCTGAAGGCACTTCTCCTGACCCCCTTTTGCAGCAGGAGACCTACAGAAACACGAAGAGCTTGGCTCTCCAGAGAGACACCACAGCCCAGAACTTGAGCCTGTACATCTGGAAGGGCAGCTCCGCAGCTGAGGAGCTGCTTTGCTCTATAATGGATATGGAAGCGCTGCAGAAAGCTGGCATAACTCATTACATGTTTCAGATGGCTCTACTACAAACACCTGGGAAGATGTAAAAGCTTTAGTTATAGTAACACACCTACATCTCTCACTGAGAAGGAAAACCAACAGGAGGAGCTTTCTCTCACAAAACAAACCAAAAGACACCAGAGAAGAACACCACCACTGAAAAATGCTTCGGTGGAGTCACTGGATATTTTAAGGGTGAGTTACACTTTATCAGCTCCAATGTACAGCCTTATTTCTATGATTTCCCGCTAATTCATCTTCCCTGTTATTTTTAAACAACAGTTTTAATTCCAGCAAAGATGAACGTTCTTTAAAACGGTCATCATCCTCACGAAGAGCGCAGCAGCATTTTACATGTTGAACACATGTGTAAGAAGAACCAAAAACCTGGCAACAGATTCTTCATCCTTCCTTCTTACGCTCGCTAGCAGTTGACTAAATGTCTCTGACAGGACAATTCTGAAGGAACAGAAGAGATTTGCAAAATGTCAGACATTACCCAAACAATAAATCTTTTCACTATGAATACAGATGCATGAGGAGTTCATTCTATGTTTACTTTTTTAATTTAGAAAACATTGGGATTCAGAGAAAATACATAAACTGCTCTAAAGTTAGCAGCTGCTAGAATCAGGGTGCAACACTCTTAGTTCAGCAGCAACAGCTCAAGTTTTTCACTCTGACATTTAACTAGAGTGTGAAGACCCTCCAGCTTCAAGTATTTCGGGAAAACTGGTGCAAACAGGATTAACTAAACCAGATTGTCAATAAACGTGTAGGATAGCCATGTTTAGAAAGTTCTTAGGCGGAAATGGAATATGTGGTGTCAGCCAAGACTCATGAGCTGTCCTGGCTCATCAGAGCTATCTATGCTTGTTGCCTTGCTTATCTACCTCCACTTGTTAAATAACATAACCCACAGTTTATCTAAAATGATTTCAAGAAATTTTCGTTTGTATTACGGTGCCTCTGGGACATTTCATATATGGTGAGGGAGAAACTTCATGATTATGCTTAAAATCAAAAAGCAATTGCACTTGAGCATGAGACAGTTACTAACGATCATTTAATAGATTTTTACATACTATGTGTTCTATAAATCTGGAAGAGAAATACAGATCATCACCTCAAGAGTTAAATGTCAAAAAGCTCAGCAAAGTTTCAACTGCAGTTTTCTACTTCTAGGTCTCTTGTCAGAGAGTCAGGTTCTTAGGGATTATTTATTTATTTTCCGTCCAAATCACACAGGCTAACAACTGGAGCTCCACACATTCAAATACAAAGTTCATAAGTAAGATTATTGAATAGATAAAAGGTTCTGCAAGCTGTGACCTAGATAAGAGAAAAAAAAATAATTGCGAAGGCACGATGCAACAGACAGAACTCACAAGTTTTCCAGTGAACAACGCGAGCAACCTGGACAAGTTCACTGGGGTATCGTTTCTGCGAACAGGCTCTGTCTCCCAACAATAAAGAAAAAAACCAGCAATACACGATAGGAATTTTAATGTTTTAGCCCATACTCGTGTCTCCCAGGCAAGTTGATATTAGGGGTCACTTCCCATGTACGGAGAAAACAATCTTCACGGATAATAATGATAAAACCTTATGGAATGCAGCAACAACCAAAAAATGTATTCTCAGATGACTACATTAGGGCCAAGTCAATATTAGTCCCACTTCACCCACGCACTGCATAGTCTAAAAATGCTGTCAGCCTGATAAGAATTTCCTGATTCACTTAAAAATTTGGAAAAAAAAAAAAAAAAAAAAAAAAAGGAAGAAAAAAATCTGATCACCAAATTCAGCTGGAAACCCGCCGGAGACGATCCTCCAGGAGCGCCGGGGCGAGTGGCGCGGCGCGCCCCGTCCGTGGGGAGCAGCGCGGGTCCCCTCCCGCCGGCGGAGGTTCCGCCCGTGTGCGCGCCCGCGGGGAGAAGGCGCTGCTCAGCGCCCGCAAAGGGAGGGTCGTCAAGCAAGGAACGACGGCGGAGAGAAGAGGGAGGGGAGGGGAGAGAAGAAATAACTTTTCCCCCTCTGCCCCACTCCCGCTGAGCAAGCCAACAGCCATCCCCCCAAAACACAAGAATTTTGGGGGGAAATATTTTTGTCGTTTGGAAACAAACAAACAAACAAACAAGCCTTACCAAGCTCCGTTGCTCTGGGGCACCCTCACCAGCTCCCCGCATCTCCAAATCAGGCCGGGGGCTGCAGAGCGCATCGCTGGCTGGCCGGGGCCGAGGTCTCCGCCCCGGCCAGCCAGCGATGCGCTCTGCATCCCGCTGACGGCGGCGGGGAGTGGGGAGGGGGGGGGGAAGGGCACCCCCTCAAAAGAAAAATCCCCCCTCCATCTCCCAGCCCTGCCCACCGCAGCGCCTCACCTGCGCGCATCCCGCCGCGGGCGCGGCCAGATAGCGGGGCGCCCCGCACGCCGCCGGGGCGGGCTGCTGCATGGCCACGTCCGAGCAGCTCATGGCCGCGGCCGCCCCGCGCCACCGCCGTCTGCCCCTTCCTCTTCTCCTTCTTCCTCCTCCTTCTCCTTCTGCTCCTCGTCCTCGGCGCGGGGCGGCCCCGGCGAGGCGCCGCGCAGCGCCGGCCGCCAGCGCATCTTCAGCGGCCGCCGCGCCCCGCGCCCGCACTTATAGCGCGGTGGCGGCGGAGGCAGCGCAGGACACCCCGGCGGCCGCGGCCCCGGCAGCGCCGGGAGGGCGGGGACCCCACCGCGCCCCGCCCGCCGCTCCGCGGGCGCGCAGCACCTGCCCCTGCCCCTGCCCCTGCCCGCGCCTCCCCGTCCCTCCCGAGGCACCGCACGGGCACACGCGTGTCGGCTCTCCCCGCCGCTGCTTCTGCGCGGGCAGCGGGAAGCGTCTCGTGTGCCGGGTTTTTGGTCCGTGGGAAGCTCTGCTAAGCCTTGAAGCAAGGGTGACACCTGTGTCAGCCACGCTTCCAGCTCCCGAAGGATTCGTCCTGGAAATTCATCGGTGAGGAAGGAGGAACCTGCTTGTTCCATAGGGATGGATTGTTGGCTAGCCCGGAGATTCTCTTCCCTCCCCACATTTGGTCCGCAATGTTTAAAAAAAAAGAAAAAAAAAAAGAAAAAAAATTAAGTGTACTGTTCTCCTTGAAAACCCAGGATCTGGTTGTGATGGTTACAGGCATATTCAAAACTATTTGTATTCACAAATACTCGTGGCCTACCTCTGTGTGCACATTTCTGCCAGCGAGCTGCCCCTGCTGCAGTCCTGCACCCAGAGGCTTTCGATGCCATTCCTCACATGGAAAAGACTATGCATATGGCTTGTTAGCATTATTCCAACTTATGAGCCTGGGAATGATTTACACTTGTTTGCTCTTGTAATTCTTCTCGTTTTGTCTAAAACTAGTTACTGTTTCAAGTTCCTTTTTCACGAAATTTGTTTTTGAAGTTTACCTACATTTAATAGTGGCCAGAAATTGAAGCCTTCAATCAAAAATTCTAAATTTGTACTCTCTCGCTCTCTCTCTTTGTATATACACACACACACAAACACACACACACACATCTCCTCAGCCAGAACAGTTAGACGAATACACAAGGTTAAAATAGCTCTGTCTGACCCCAGTAGGATTCCCTGTTTATAGAAAGCATTTCTCCAAAACATTCGACTGCAATACTTTGAACAAAGATCCAATTTCCTGCAGGAGTGTTTAGTTTCTTTTTTTTTTTTTTTTTTTTGGTAAGTTTTGGGCGTACAGATTTTAAGGTAGGTACACACTTTTTTAATAGCATTCCGTAACTTGTTCCTGTTGCATTTTGTATAGCTGTGTAAATGGATTCAATCCAAAGTGTTAAACTCTGCAGTCACTCAGAAGCATCTGCGAGGGTGCAATACACTTGCAGCACACACTTTGCTGTACCAAATACACGGACTTCTGAGTGGTTTCTTTGCGAAAAACAGAAAATCCAAGTGCTGATTGCTGCCTACAAATCTCTGCTCGATCTGGGCCCTATTAATTTCAAAAATCTCTTTTCCCCCCTCATTTCCTACTGCAACAACACGCCTAAGGCAGAACATTATCCCGACAGAAAGGTTCGCAGGAGCCGGAGGCCGTCGGTCGGCAATAACAAGTCCCACCTTCTGAAGTTCGCTGTTCCTGGACACGAGCCTGATCCTGACCTGGAGGTTTTTACCGCAAGCAGATGGCCAGGCTGCCTGCAGGCATTCCTCTGGCCGCCCTGTCTCCTGGCACCCGGCCCCCTCGCGTTTGGACGACTGGCTGCTCTCCATCCACCCTCGCAGATCCTCTCAGGGAAGCTTGTGCCGCTTGCCGCAGAGGATTGTGAAACATGTTTCCTGTTTTAGGGAAAATGTTGTTTAGCACCATTCTGTCTGAGGTAAAACGCTTTCAGATGCAAAGGCAATGAGGCCTGGTGCTAGTTTATTTAAAAAAAAAAAAACAAAAAAACAAAAAAAAAAAACCAGAACAACACCCTCCTTAATAACGCACTTAATATCAGTAACCAAACAAGCCTGTAAAATCACAAATATAGAAACAAGTTCTTTCGATACCAATTGATCATTTTTAGGAGAAAAGCCAATATCGGTCCTTAAAGCAGAACAGACCAAAACAGAGAATGATTTATCATCTACTATGTTAATGTGACACATTGAAGTGGGAGTACATTAGTGATCATTTTTCACCCAAGTACATGGGGCACTTCCAAGAGGTTTATAAATGCACTAACACAGGGATCACTGTTTTCCAGAGGATGCCAAAATGCTCTGATATTCAGTTAGCACACATTCCTTATTATCAGATCCTGCCACAATTGTGGCATGTCAGATGCCTTTGGGGCACGGTGCAGTGGCATGATGCATCATGTAAAAAAGCAGATCAGGACCATTATCAGGCAGATGTTTGACACGATGCACCGTGTCAGTCAGCCAGTGGCATGTTGCCATTGCTCAAAAGGATTTTGACATCATACAGTGTGCCAGTGCTGTAGCACAAAACTAGCATGTTCCAAAAATAGGGACAAATTCACCTCTGGCACAAGTAGAAGTAACTGCAGTGACTTCATTAGATTTGCATCTGCTTATGTCAACAGCGAGTTTGGCTCATAATCTGGAATTTATATAAAAGAGTGGTAAGTGGCTGCATTTTCAGATATTGGTTATAGTGTTTTCTACTCCCAGTATTCAAGCATCATGGGACAGCTGGGGTAAACCCACCACCTTTCTCAACTCTTTCCCCTCCACTCCGCAAGAAGCAGCCTCAGATTTCAATTTTTAACAGTGTAACAATACCTCAGAGTACATACAGGGTCACTCTTTTCAGAAAGAAGGGAGATCGTGAGTTTGGGGATTTCACAAGGAGTAGGAATTTGCAAAAAAGGAAGAGAGAGGGTCTCTGCTTTCTGCCTTCGTACTATTTCACAACAGTAGCTGCAAGCACTTGGGTGCACAAGTACTTAAATGCAAGAACTTCAGTCCACTCAAAATAGGAAATTTTGGGTGGCAATTACAGTAATAGTTAAAGAATGGCATGAAAGGGCAGCCAGGATGAAATGTGAGACCTGATAAGATTTGGAGACTTCTTAAAAGGCATTGTAATTTATTGTTGTCCCCTTTCATCACTTTGGAATGAAAAGCACTGCTTGCTAATGCAGATGCATCACCCTGACAAAAGGACAGGAGGGGAATCAGCTAAGATATGACTGGTGTAAGATCTTCTTTACAGAAAGGAAACATCCCGCCCTTCTGACACAGTCTGTTTCTTTAATGATGAAAAGAACTAACTGGTTCTATTTTAAATAAAGTTCATTCATCTTTGCTATGTGTTCTAGCTTCTTAAATCCATCAGGGTACACCAATCCTTGGATTTGCTGAACTTTGGTGATGCTAAGGGAAACCAAAAGAAATAAAAGCCAGTAAATCTTCAAGGAGCACTAATTAAGCACCATCTCCAAACTTGACTTGATACAGCAGCTGCATGGGTTGTAATATCAAGGGAACATGGCTGGTCTGGTACACTGTAGTCCTGGAGAAGAAGAGTGGAGCACCGTGGTAGAAGCAATCTGCACAGGCTCCTCAAGCAATCATTTACTTACCTGCTTGGAGACAAGATTTTATGTTGGAGCTGGAGGTGCTTACCACTTGCACAGGTCAGAAAATTTATGTCAAGGCCTCAATAAATGCTGGGAAACAATTTGCAAGCCATTTCAACCTTTTGAACAATAACAGCAAGGAGTAAGGGTCCTTCCCCTCCCTTATCACCACTCTAGAATTATTTCCAAGTATTTCTTTGAGGAGACAGCTCTGTGCAGTTAAGCAGTTCCACAGAGATTAAAACAAACAAAACAACAACTCCCCTTCTTTATCCCACTCCCCCTCCTTGTTTCACCCTCTGCTGGCATCCTATAAGTATTTAAATCATTGGAAACCACACCCTAGCTAGCTGTGGCTAGTATTTACAGGCAAAGCCCCTTGGCTTTGCTGTTATGGGTCGCTCAAGAGCCAAAAATGTAACACTGTTAGTTTTTTCCTAAACAAGGATTCCAAATCGGAAGATACACATGGCATCCCAAGGAAAAATACACCAGGCATTTTCTATGCCTTATATATAAAGGAATGGTAACATTAAAAACAATGTTTCTTCACAACTAGCTGGGAATTCTCTGATGAGATGGACAATAATTTTTTTTTTTTTAAGTGAACTTTGATTGATGCAACACCATTTTCTTGTGGAGAACACTCAATTTTGACAAACACTCTCTAAAGCAAGTTAAGTTTCCATTGAGATCTGCCACCACACAGATTTCTAAAGGTTTTCAAATTACATCGTACTGGGTAGCCCAGCTAGGAAGTTTATCTTGACCTCGGGACTCAGGGGATGCCAGGCATATTCCTGTAAAACTGCAGTGCCATCACCACTGGGATCTACACTGCCAGCAGATACACTGCAAGTCCTAGAAAAGCTGCAGGCAACAGAGAGCTTGAAAACTCCTGGGCTGAGCTCCATCTTTCCCCATTCTCCAGGGAAGAAACACACATTGGAGGCAGGCAGGGAGGCACTCACTGCCATTTCTGAAGGAATGGAAACAGACTGCCCCAAACACTTGAAGAGGGAGAGAAGGATGGGAGTTATTTCCATTCTGGAGGACAAAGTTTCACCCTGTATGTACATATATTGCTCCAATTTGAAAGCATACAGAAATCGATGGGGTTGAGTGTTTGAGGGGAAAAAAAAGAAGTGTTCCATTCCTACAATGCCATTTTAATCCATACAACACCTTGTGAGTACAGGAAACAGGCTTAACATTTCCCTTATACACACAGCCATGCACACTCACCACCAAGGGTTTGACCCCTCCAGGACAGGAGGCATCAGTTTGTGTGTGGCAAGTCCATAACCCTGAGATTTTTAGGATCTTTAGATTCAAAAGGCAATGAAATACAGCAAACCACTGGCCAAATTTAGGGTCGAGAGATGC